CAGCAGAGCATTCATCACTGGACAGTGATGATGATGATCACTATTGGAGCATACAGGCTCAGAGATTGTACTACTAGAACTAGAGGCAGATAAGGCCTGTCTGGCCAGAGTGTTGCCGTAGTATTGAGTTGCCGGTTGACCTCGTAAATTTTTGCTCGTCTTTGACCTGCGCAGTTAGCAAAGAGTTGGGTAAAGTATTTGATTCTCCAGTCTGGGGGATTGGTTTGATCTGCATCATTAAGGAAGTGGACCAGCTGTTGGCAGTCGGATAAGAATGCGGTGTTGTTGATGTTAAGAGCAACATTAACCGTAGCTGCGAGGGCTAGAGCAGCCGCCTCCGCCATTAGCACAGATACAGCCTTGATGTAGATGGCGTGCACCGGTTGTACATGTGTATTAAGAAAAAAATACTCCTAGACCCGCCATTCTTGGCTGCATGGATGGACGATCAGGTGTCGTAGAAGCATCAGCATAGCATCTGACACCAGGTAGCAGGGCCAGCATTGGGATCATGTACCTGTTCGTCATTGGAATTGTGCACCTGTACATATTGAATCTAGGGTGATTCAAAAGTGTAGAGGGGGGAGTGGAACCTGATGGTGCTTGTTCCTGGTTCGGTGGTCCAGTAAAGGCCGGCTGGTGATGTATGGACTCCTGCAGAGAGGGGGGATGTCCTCTTGGGGCTGTCCATCAGTGCAGCTCTGTACCTGTGCATCCAGAATTGAGTTCGGCATTGCTGCTGTGGCTAAATGCGCAGCAACAGCATGGTGCACCTGCCAAGTGGTCCATGATTTCCTGGCAAATCTGAGATCATAAGGTAAAGGGCGTACCCAGTGCAGAGAGCTCTCGCTCTGTGCGGGGTCTGGGAAAGGGTGTTAGTGGCAAGCCTACCCTCGCCTGTGCAATGCGAGAAGACCACGACTCGAACCCGGGACCTTCCGGTCACAGGCGGTAAGACTCTACCGTTTGCACCAGGCCTGCCCTTCAGATATACCATAAGGTAGCAGTGGCGGGCCCAAAGGGTAGTCCAGGTAGGCCCAGGACAACCCTGGAATCTGGCCCAAAATTTATTTAGTACTCAGCATTTTCAATCTTTTAGCCTATAGAAAGTCTGGCCCAATAAAAACTGAAAGAAGCCCACGTTAGCGAGCATCAGGTATCTCCCGTCTGCCTCCTGAGCCCCTGCGCGAGGCCATGAGACACTGAAAGAAACCCATGTAATCTATTATTTATGTAAGACCTTATCTTATGTATAATCTATTTGTGCAAGTTTTGGATCTATTTATATAAGTTTTGAACCTTTCAATTGTATTATCTCAATTTGGTTAATTTATAGCCATTTTATCGAACTTTTTCTTTGAATTTAGTCGTGTTGCACATGAAATTTTTTGACTAGGACTACCCTGGTTTCAAATCCTGGGTCCGCCACTGTAAGGTAGTCAGGATTTTTTGTAATAAATCACTTGTGCATCTGTTATAAGAATTGAAAGGATATCTTGAACTCCATCATCTTCCATGGGCAGTGTATCACTTCTGAGCGGTGGGGTAGCTGAAAACCAAACTGCACGAGCGAAATGACAGTGGAAAAATAAATGTGCATCAGTTTCGACCATACCACAGGTGGAGCAATGTTGATCAATATGTGCCGAGAATCTTGCAGCCCTGCATCCGGTTGCTAGAGCTCGGCAGATTAGCCTCCATGTAAAAGTCTTGATGAGAGGAGGAACATTTTTGAGCTTCCATGTTCTCTGGAGGATTGTATTGGCCTGTTGCTGGATGCTCCGAGTTCCTGTGAGCGGCAACCGGACCTGCATTTGAGCACTGAAAAATCTGTAAACATTTTTAGCGGTGCAGTCTCCTTTCCTGGCTGGAGTCCACCTCAGGATGTCATGGCGCTGACTATGAACCGTAGTAACCTGTGAAATAATTTGAACAGCCTGCTGATCAAAAATATTAGAGAGGAGGTCCAGATTCCAAGTGTGAGTGTTAGGAATCCAGAGGTCAGCAACCACATTTGGAAGAGGAGAGTGGGTAACAGGAAGGAGAAGATGGTTATGAATAGAGTCCCAAATGGGACACCAAGGCGAAGACCAAATTGAGGAGTTGCCACCATGAATCTGATATGTAACATTAGTAGTTAGGTCCTTTCTGATTTGGAGGATAGAAGACCAGAAGATGGAGCGAGGGCCACCAGAATTGGCAGTCCAGAAAGAAGCGTTGGAGAAATACTTGGCTTTAAGGATAGAAGTAAGAAAAGGGTTTTTGTTGGTGGCAATGTTCCAGGCAGCCTTAGTGATAAGGCTTTTATTGACCGTATAAAGGTCTCTGATGCCTAGACCACCATTCTCTTTGGGCTGACAGATATCCCCCCAGGAGCGGAAGGCAATTGGATTAGTGGGATTATCGTCCTGGATGCCAGCCCACCAGAATCTACGGATAATAGTAGTGATTTTCTCCACAAAAGATTTGGAGAAAAGGACCGTAGACATATAATAGACAGGAATTGAGGCAAGGACGGATTTAATGTAAGTAAGCCGGCCAGCGTGATTTAACTTATTGGCCTTGACCGTAGTGAGCTTAAAACAGAATTTGTGGATGATAAATTCATAGGCTTTGTTCCTGTCTCTGTGGCTGAAGATCATAGGACGGCCAAGGTGCATAGTATTGGGAAGCAAATCAGAAACAGGAAAGATGCTTCGGATTTGGGATCTGGTGGTGTCGTCAACATTCTTACTAAATAGGATAGAAGATTTCTGGAGATTGGGAACTTGACCAGAAAGGCGACATAAATCATTAAGGATGGATTTGATCGATGCCGCCTCCGCAACAGTGGCGTGACCACAAAGAATTAGGTCATCAGCAAATAGGAGAGAATGGATCGGGGGGACAACCGGGGCTGAGGGAGACGCTAGAAAGGTGCCTGTTGTTCAGTTCAGCCTGCAGACGTATTGACAGCTCATTAATAGCAATAACAAATAGATACGGTGAGAGAGGACAACCTTGCCGGATTCCACGCTGCGGGGAGAAGGTTGCAGAGGGTTCTCCATTCACTAGAACTGCAAAAGGAGTGGAGATACATGCATGTACGAGGTTAATAAAATGATCATGATACCCTTGACGCCGCAGAGCCGATTGGATGAATGTCCATTCTAATCTATCAAAAGCCTTAGCCAAGTCTAACTTAAGAATAAAGGCTTTGTGGTTCCATGTCTTTAAATTGAAGGAGTGGATTATTTCTTGAGTGATTATTATGTTAGACAAGATGTGTCTATCAGCAACAAAGGCCGCCTGAGCATGATCAATGCTATTAGGAAGATGCTTTTTAATTCTATTAGCAAGAGACTTAGAAATAATTTTGTAAGCAACATTGCAGAGGCTAATAGGTAAAAAATCCTGTGGCAACAGCGGCTGATCCTTTTTAGGGATCAAAGAAATATAAGTTTTATTAATCTCAGTATGGAGATGTGCAGAGGAATAGAATTCAGTTACCAATTTATAGACGTCCTGCTGTATCCATGGCCACGCTGATTTGTAGAACGCTGCATTTAGACCATCAAGTCCCGGAGCTGCATTACTCCTCATTTGCCTGACAATGTCGTGGATTTCTTCCATATCTGGAACTGAATTAGTGAAACTGTCATTAGCTGGAGAAACAGGGGGGCTGTCCTGAGGTAGCAGCTGCGCCTGATGAGGAAGAACAGGCTCAGAGTTGAGGCTAGGAGTGGTAGCTGTGGATGGGTAAGGCATTTGAGTGGAATTGGGAACAGCTTGCTGCTCAAGCACAGGCAAAGACGTATTCAATCGATGGGAGGCGAAAATGGATTGGAAGTAATTAACCAGAGTGGTAGCAAGTTGATCAGGGGTAGTGGAGTGGGTGCCATCGGGGTTATGAAGGTGGGTGATACGTCCTATTCCTTTTGATGATAGAGTGGTGGAAGAAAGAAGTATTGCGATCACCATGCAGGGCCCAGTCTTTTTTGGCTCTTTGGATGTGGTAAACTTCTTCTTTGGCTAGGAGATCATGGTGCTGTTGAGTGAGGTGTTGTTGCACAGAGAAATATTGATGAGGAGGAGGCTTGGATTGTTGCTGAAGAAGCTGGTTTTCAATATCAGCGAGTTCCTTGGTTTACCCCGACGCGACCTACGAAGATCAGAAGCAAGGTAGTTGATTTTTTGAGTAAAAGATCTAGACCAGGAGCGTTGCCAACTGCCCTGTGCAACCGCCTGATAATCCTGTTCCATCAACCACCAATTCTCAAAACGAAAGGGTTTATTAGTATGAATGCGTTGAGAATTAAGAACTGCAAGAATGGGAGCATGGTCGCTACGCATCATAGGAAGGTGGTAGATTGTCGTCCTGGGGTAAGCAAGACACCATTCTGCATTACCCAAGCAGCGATCAAGCCTTTCAAACGTTGGGTTAGTGCTGAAACGCTTATTAGTCCAAGTATAAGCAGGTCCACTATAACCCAAATCGATGAAACCACACTGCTTCACAAGAGCACAGAATTCATTTATACGTCTAACATTAGCCCTAGTGGGACCTAGCTTCTCATTAGCAAGCATAATATTGTTCATAACTCCCATACATAAGATTGGCAAGTTGCTATTAATTAGAACAAAATTTAGCACTTGATTCCAGATACTACTAGTGGCACGGTGATGGGGATCTCCATAGAGGCAGACTAGGCCATACTGCTGCAAACTAAGTTTATTTATACACAACGCGAAGATGAAATGATGGCTATGATCAACAACAGTAACATCAACTTCATCATTCCAAATCAGCCAAAGGCCACCTGACTGGCCTTGAGCCGGAACAACAAAAGCATCATTATAATTAAAACGATTTATAATGGAAGTTTTACTGATGGAAGCGTTTCTAGTTTCAGAAGTGAAACATACCTGAGCTTTAGTAGAAGCGAGTAGGCGGGCAAGGAGAGTCATCTTAGAACTGCGAAGGCTCCCGCCTGAGCCTCGGCAGTTCCATGCTAAGTGTGTCATGGCGCCCCTGGCGCCCTTGAGGCCGGCGCCGGAGCCTGTTCAGAAGTCTGGGGAAGACGTCGAGGAGGATTGTCGTGAGCTGCAAGCCGAGCTGTACCATCACGGCCATCTTGAACCTGAACTGGAACGTTGGGCGTGTGTACAGGGAACAGATGCTCGCTGACTGCTTTGTAGCTATCGCCCCAGGCTGTTTGGAGTTCAAGCCTGGCTGCGTGGATTGGGATCTCCCTTGCGGTCCCCTGGGGGTTCGCCACCTTCAGCAGCAGGTTGTACGGTGTGGCCACCTGTTCTTCATCCTGATGAGTGGAGCTCCGCGCCGCACATGACGAGAGCTGAAGCGCCTCCAGGGACCTCACAAGCTCCATGTGAGGTTGGATAGGCGTCTGTTTCGAATCTTTTGTGTGGCGTGGAGGAGAAGGATTGCGTGGTGGAACTGGAGGATCGGGCATGGTGGAGTGAGGTGGAGGTGGCGGAGTGGGCGTGGTGGAGCAATCTGGTGGATCGGGATCCATGGGTGGCGGGGCTGGTGAGGTGGAGCTGTCTCTTTCTTTAGGGGAAAGAGGGAGAAGGAAGCAGACGACAGACGGCGTGTTCGCTGGTTGTCTAAATACATTGTTGGCTTGTTGAATAAGGCTGAAACCAATAAGCGAATAGGGTGAGAGTAAAGAAAGCCAAAGCTCTGACCCTCATCGGCAAGGTAGAGCATGACGGGGGCAGCAGATCGGAGGATCGGAACCTGTCGGCGGCGGAAGCGAGATGGATCGGAAGATTGGCGCGTGGCAAGGTGAGAGATTTACCGTTAAGGTGGCAGCAGATGAGGGACGCAGAGGCAGGGCCGGTGACGAGCTTGGCGAGAAAACAGACGAACGGTCGAAATTGAAGGTCGCAGGTGTCGATCGATGATTGCACAAGACTACGATTGAAAGGGGAACGGATTTAGGGCGGATTGGATCGGTGGATGGGGAATTGGGGGGGAGGAAAAGTAGAACACGGCAGAACGCCACTTCTCACAAAGGAGCTCTTCGGTGTCGTTGCGTCTTCTTCGCGGCGGAGCTGTTGGATTTGATATAACTCCTACTAGTTGCTCAGATTCTCAAGTGAACTTCACATCAGATGCTTAAAGTCCTCCAGATGAACCATTTCTTGATATCCATCCACACAGGGTGTATTTGGTTGCTCGAATAGTGTTGTGTAGACTTAGGGCACCAGCAAGTTGCTAACTCTACGTCAACCTCTTCAATAGTATTATTAGTTTTTAGCAATGGCTCATAGTATGATTAATCCCATATAGCACTCACACATGTTCTTGGAATATGTAATGAGTCTAGCTATGGATTAAAAGCTAGCTTTTCTCACTCTTCTATTAAAATATAAAGAAAAAATACATAGAGGTAGCTTATGAGTCACCCATTGCAGGTGCCCTTAGGGTCCGTTTGATAAGGATCCAGATTCTAGAAGAAATATTTTAGTTTTAGATTCTCTAGAGAAAGGTTTCTCCGAGAAACAGAATCACTTGCTAAAACCGCTTGGCTGCCTGTCTAGGTTTACATTCTGAGTAGAGGTGAATGTGGTGGAATAGACCAAAGACATATGATGATGTTTTCTTTAGTTGCTACAGGGCTAAATAAAGCATTTACAACCAGCCGGGCGAAATATATATACCGGTATTCCTAATGTATTTCTTGTTTTATTTTTCTAAGGGAAAATAGATGAAATATGTATATTGGTATTCCTATTGTATTTTTGTTTTATTGGCCCGTTCGCGTGCCCTTAAACCCGATTTGATCCGTTTATTTTTTCATTCGGAACAGTGTTTCTCTCTCACAAATTCCTCCAACCTTCCTCTAAACCATCCAGATTCCTCCAGAATTCAGACAAGCGAACAGGCCCATTGTTTCTATGGGGAAATGGCCGAAGTATGTATACTGGTACCCTATTGTATTTTGTTTTATTTTTCCATGGGAAAACGGCCAAAATATGTATACTGGTATTCCTATTGTATTTCTTGTTTTTATTTTTCTAAGAGAAAACGAGCAGGGTGTCATGGGCGTGGCCTTGCTTGGCTTCACCGTCCACGGTAGAACGGGCTAATAAGGAAGCATCGAACTTTTTATTGTGCGATGCTAAAAAAAAAACCGTTTCTCATGCGAAACCAGGTTTTGAGCCGATTCATCCGCATAGTGTAAAAAGGAGAATCGTTTCTCCTCGTTTCGTTCCAGAAACGCTACACATATAAACATATTTTCGTTTGGCAGATTCTTGCGTTTCAATGTAGAATTGGAACCGTTCCAGCATGCCAAATGGACCCTTATCGCCCCCGTTAGCTTCGCTGAAAAAACAAACTGAAAAGTACGGATTATAAAACAAACGAACAGAGCCAATACACGGTGGGCGGGAGGAAGCAGGCCAAGAGGATGTGGAGTCTTAAAAAAAAAGTGTCTGGAGAGGATATAGTGTTTTCCTCTCACACCAAACCAGCCAACAGTATTTTTAGCCCATGGCTTATAAACCAATCGAACCGAAACGAACAGGCTGATTGTTACATGAGCGGATACAATATATGTAGCCTGAGGCCTTCTTGGCTAGTTAAGGTCGATTTAGGCGCATCTGCTTATCCTACATCTAACCGTATATGCAGCCAAACACGCTTCCTAGACAGATTATATGCACATGCTCCACTGGAGCAGCGAATCAAGCATGCTCTCATAGTATCTCTCTCTTCCAAATATTAAAACGCAATCAGTCTCTTTGTCCATCGTTTGTTCGCGGTTTTCAGTTTGGCCAGTCCTGCCCCATGGTTTTCACTTTCTAGCTAGATTATATGCACACACTAGTGCATGCTCCGCTGATCGGTTGATTATAATTTTTTTGGAATTTTTCTAGATCTTCTGCATATTTTTCTAGAATGAAACTTCATTTTTGGTGCTTCTAGATATATTTTCACGAGATTATAACATTTTATTTGGATTCTTGGTATCCCAATCTATTTCTTCGGTTTTATTGAAATTTTGAGAATCTTAGAGACATTTCATGTGGTTTAAATCCATGTCAAGTATTTATCAAATTTTTAACTAAAAAAAAGATAAAACCAATCAGGACAGCAAGGTTGTCGTTGTAAAAGTTTAGAATAAGATGTTTAGCTCTATATAGTTTAATTTAAGAAGGAAAATCATACCATGATAGTACTCCCTCTATTCCAAAATAGAAGTCATTATGAGATGCGTGTAAGTCAAATATTTTTAACTTTGACTAGATTTATAGAAAATATGTGTAACATTTATACCTCCAAATAAGTTTATTATGAAAGTATATTTAACGATCTATCTAATAATACTAATTATGTATTATAAATATTCATATTTTTTCATATATATTTAGTTAAAGTTAAAAGTGTTTGATTTCTCAGAAAAGTGAGAATAACATCTATTTTGGGACAGAGGGAGTAATTCAAAGTGGTAAGACTTTTTACGTCTTGCGGCCTAAACCTGATACACCGCTGTTCGTGACGTGGGCGCCTAGCTGCCGACCCCCCCACCTGGTGAATCCCGCCGACCCTCCCCTTTCCTAAAAAAAAACAATTTCCTCCCTCAATTCCTCTACCAAATTGGGTTCAATTCAATTGTATTTTTGGCCAAACAGTACATCAGGCAACAACCATGCAGTAAAAGCCAAAATTACTGACATCAGCACATATCCCATGCTTTTTAAAGTAAGAAAAAAGCCATAGCTCATAAACCAAGTATCCTAATTAAAATCCGATTGCACCATTGTGTTCCTTGCAATAAACTCTTCAAAACAATACCCCACACAGATATATTTCGATAAATTTTTTTAACGAACATCATTCTCATGATGAACCTATATTTAAAGATAATCGTCGAACATCACATTAACACTAAACGAACATCGCAGAAAATAACATAGAACATCATATGTATACTACACAAATATCATATATATATCATGAAATGTAAAAACTAAAAAAATAAAAATAAAATTAGTGAAGTAATTAATTATAGTCAAATAAAAAGAAGAAAAAATGCTACCGAACATCACAAATACATCGTAGAACATCACATTAAAACTACACGAACATCGCTAAAATATAACATTGAACATCATATGTATACTACGTGAACATCACAAAATATCATGAAATATAAAATAAAAATAATAAAATTAGCGAAGTAATTAATTAGAGTCAAATAAAAAGAAGAAAAAAGCTACCGAACATAAAAAAAAATCCTAGAACATCAATGTATGCTTACTGGACATCACAAAATAGCATCATAGAACATCACATTTCTACTCACGGACATCATAAAATATAGCATAGAACATCACATGCATGTAAACTACGTTAACATCACATATATCATGAAATATAAAAAAAATAAAATTAGTAAATTAATTAATTAGAGTCAAATAACACAGAAAAAAGATGCAAAAATAAAAAATGAAAAAACAAAATAAAAATAGAAAATAAAAACTAAAATAAAAAATATGCATGAAACATAAAAAAGAGAAATAAATAGAAGAAAAGAAAAGAAAAAAGAAAAAATAAAGAAGAATGAAAAAGCGACATAATAAAAGAAAAAAAAGCAAAAATCAAAATAAATGAACGAAAAGGAAAAAAGAAAAGCAAAAACGCACAAAATATAAAAAAAGAGAAAAGGGAAAACATGAAATTAATAAACAAAGAAAAAAGGAAAAAACTGACGTACCACAGCGGAGTAAGAAAAAAAAGAAAGAAACATAAACATGAATAAAAGAAAAAAAGAAATATCACATAAACAGAAAAAACAGAAAATGAAAAGAAAGGGTGATATATGCAAAGAAAGAATAAAAGAAAAAAGCTACGTACCTGTACAGATGTTTGCTTGGAAAGCATCAGGGAAGCCGCGACTCACTCCATGGGCCGAGGGGAAAACTGGCGGAAGACTGAGGAGAGTGCTTAGGGGGGGGGTCGGTGCATGTCTCCTATCCGACTGGTCGGCAGGGAAGATTTCCGGCTTCTGTGTGGGTGAAAGGTCCCTAGTTTGGTTTTGGTAATTGAGTGACAACCTAGATGAACTAATGTGTTTAAATGTGATATACATAGGTGATTAGTCCACAGGTACACTATATGTGAGCAACTTATGCCATGATGGTGAAGATGGTTTAGATTTGTTGCAAGGCTCACACGTGTGATGAAGGAGCTCATTGCATATGAGACATGATATTGAGTCATGTGACTAAGGTGGAGAAGATCAAGACAAGACTTGGCTTGATGGACCGGTTGCAAGCGTGAATGGCACGTTGGAGGCTTTGGAGCGATGAATCGCATGGCGGTGAAGCTTGAGCAAGACTTGACGCCGATGGACGAAAGCAACGATGAAAAGCAAGTGAGGTCAAGATCGATGAACTAATAAGGTCACGTGATGATATAAAGTGGATCATATTATTTATTGATCGTGTTGGTGCATGTGTTGCATCAACATTGGAGGAGATGGAATGGAATACGCAAGGCAAA